ATCAAATTCAATATCCAAAGGATGTCAGGGGTTTAAACACAGGCTTAAGCAATTTGTGGCTTAGTGTGCTCAAGTCTATTAACGTGATGAGAGCTTCAACAGCAGCAATATTCAAAATGACACATCCCCTGCAGGAAACTGTTTAAACATTTGAGCATTGCCCAACATCTCTTTCTTCTTTGGTTTTGTTGTTTTGACTTTGTTTATTCATCCTTGTCTCGAAGCGCTGGCTCCATCCTCTGCTGCCTTGACTTGTTCCCAACGACTGTGATTCCTCAACACAAAAGAATGAAAGAAACTCTCAAATGAAAAAAAAAAAACCTTTTCATCTTGGGCATGAGTCAATTACCAGGGCAGCATTGCTGAACACACTCAGCGTTCAGAGTATCGTCCTCTGGAGGGAGCAGAAACGATGTATTGATTGTGACATGTTTATTTCCACGGCAGAAACATGTTAGGTTTCCAACAACACAAGCACATTTAGTGTTTGTTGTCCATGTGTCTGCAGGAACGCGCCAAGTTATTGCTGGATTTTTTAAACAATTCTTTGACAGACATGAGCCGATGTGATTTGTGGGCCGAGATTGCTTGATTTGTTTTTATTTCGTTTTGAGCAGCTTCCACTTAAGGCAATGGGAATGTGGGTGTGTAATGTGTTAGTCAGTTTTTCTATTATCACAAATAACATTTTTTTTCTCCCCAGTTAATTTCAAGCTCCTGCAAACTGGTTTCTCACTATAGGCAACCAGTTTTCTCAGGCTGTGAAGTTAAAGTTAAGAGTTAAAGAGTGCGTTGCTGCCAACCTTTATAGATTGGAGGTTGATTGTTAAGCTGCTTTTGCAAACTTTAATAATTGTACTGGTTCTATCAAACAAAGAGGTTGTTTTGCCTTTTTCAAAACCCAAATCGAAGCAAAATGCGCTCTGTCATCACTTTAATTTCATTAGATATCATCAACTGGCTGTAACATAACATTAGAAATGCTCGCAAGCCAATAGTTTGCACTCAATAACTGCCTGAAGCAATAACAGCATCAAACTGTTCCAGATGCCAATTAGACTTAAGCCTTTGCTGAAAACTAAGATGTATCATTGCTGGCTTATCTGCACTACTTATGTGTATGCAAGATTGATTATCTTTATAACAAAAGAAATGTAAAACTGAACAAATTCAGCTGATGTCTGGAGCTATCAGTCTTTGATTCCTAATGCAGTTTAAAAAGGTTGTTTGTGAGCCTGAGTGTTTGTATGTTTCTCAAAGTAATACAGTGAAACTCTGCAACCTTGCAAGACAAACTGAACTGATGCTCCAGATAGGACCATTAATAACAGAATAAAAAGAGAGATTCTCTGAGACCTCTTTCTGTCATAATGAATATTAATGACTACAGAGACTTGCCACCGACAAACCTGACAATAGGATGGATATTTTGTTGTGATTAATGCCTCCTCTATTGAAAAACGCTTCCTCACACGGCATCTCCTGCTCTAATCCTGTGAGGTAGTCTCTGCGAAGAATACACCCCGGCTACTTCTCGGGAGAATTCACATTGTTCTCTCATAATATAAATCAATACAGTGCTGGGGGAGCTCTATTTCACTAAATGGCTTAATAGAAACTTAGCAAGAGAGGAGCCACAACTGTCTTAGGGGCTCTTTCCCTTACTGGGTGCTGCATAAAGAATTATTTCTTTCCGTCCCCAAAAAACTGACAAATCATTTTGAGAATGATTGTAGTGCTAGAATAGTATACAACTGTGGGTATCACTTTATTTGAACAGTCTGTGTTGATGCTCAACCCTACTATCAGGTGACACAAAGTAGATGTTTTAGGGGTCATATGACATTTGGTACATATATGTATATGTTTTAGTATTTCAAACCTAAAACCATGAATCAGACATTTAATAGTCTTTCGCAAATCTAGTGTGGCTCCAGGATAAGCACTGTCAGTATGTCTGTCTGGACAGAAACCATTTAAGTATATGTAGGCTTTTTTCTTTTTTGGGGTATTGTTGATCAGTCGCATCACCCATTAACATGGCAACCAGATTGCCTTTCTAAAATAAAGTACTAAAATAATAAATTGCTTAAAAAGATAAAAGGAAGGGAGATAAAAACAACACTGAATAAAACAGATAAATATACAGGAATTAAAAGACAGATTCTACAGAGGAATTTTTAAGAGAGGTTTTCAAAGAAGCTAGCCTGTCTTCTAGTAATCAGCCAAGAGCTTCCTGTTCGGGGTAATCTGACTGCAATTCAGGATTGGATACATTTGAGTCTGTTGAGGGAGCTCTGACTGATACTGTTTGAAAGTGCATTACAACAATGAAAGCGTGAAAAATAAAAGCATGAATAACTTTGTGCAGATCCACAGGGGACAGGAATAATCATATTTTAGAAATTTGTTTTAGCTTTTAAAAAAAAATGGATTGGACCTTACTTTCAACATGTGCATCAGAACAAAGATCTAATGTTGTGCCCAGATTTCTTGCTTTTAGATTGATGTTGTGAAGTGAACCAAGCTTTCTTTGGAAGAGGACCCGATGAATGATGTTGAGCAAACATTTTGACTTCAGATTTCTTGATTGAGTTTTTTAAGGTTTTTGACATCTGTTATTAATTGTTGCGGAGGCATGTGACTTAATTGTTTTATCTATTGGGATTATTGGACCGGACAGGAATGTACAGCTGTGTGTCATCTGCATATAACTGATGGGAAATGTGGTTCTGAAAGATCTGGCTGAGTGGACGCATGTAAAGGCAGAATAGTAGAGGGCCTAGAATCGATCCTTGGGTAACACCACAGTCAAAATCAAATATAGATGAAGAGGAATTTTGACATGACAGCTGAAAAGGTAATATTAAGTAGGAACCGAGGAGATGTGAGACAGTCCTGTTAAGACCGACCCAAAAGGGAGAAGGACTTTCACCCAGATGTATTTCTAGCAGGCTCTGGTGCCTGGCATGCTGGGGATGACACAGAGATGCTGTGCTTGAACAAAGGCATCAATTTGGCCTTTGTTCTGCCAGTCTCTGCAACTGCTTGGCTTTTCTTTCTTCCATCAGCACAATAAGGTCCAAATCACCAAAATGTTACCTGCGTCAACATTACCTGTTGCACAAAAGAACCGGGAGTCTGTAACTCAATGCAGTATCAAATTAATAATTTAAATCCATGGTTTCGCCATGCATATTTTTAAACATTTTGACGCCAGCTTCACATATAAGCCATCATCACTTCATTTTATCCATTATCTTCACCAACGCTCTGCTTCATATTGGGAGTTTGGGATTGGGGTTAGGTCTCGGTCTTGTCAAATTTGACCTTGATTGAGATTTATAAATTTAAATAAAGTTAGATTAATAATTTTCCTTTAATCATAGGGTCCATGAAAGCTCTGCAAGATTTCAATGAAGTTTGTGTTCATCTTAGACTAATAACAGTTTTGTAAACAGATATTGCAATGTTTCCATTAAGTTTGCCAGAAAGTTTTTCATAACCCTTGTAGTGGGTTGTACAAGAGTGATTGCGCAATAGTTAATTAAGATATTTAGTTTATTTTTTTGTTTTTATTCAGTAAAAAACTTAAAAGTAAAGGTTGGACTCAAACCTAGGGTTTTTGTACGTAGGGCGTACACCACCACCAGGGCCAGTAAGGTATTATTTTGTGACACAGATTTTCCACAGAGTTTTGTGCATCCTGCGTTGTCACTGCCCTCCTTTTTCTGCAGCAGCCTCCCTGTCCTCTAGGAATAGGCTGATATAGCCAATATGCTAAGCTCATGGGTTTAGTTTGCAGGTCATTTCCCATCAGGATCAGCCGGCTCCTGCAGAGGGATGGTGATAAGAGTGGATATTGGGAGCTATGTAAACCTTGTTAAGCTGCCCATCCCCTGTGCGCAAGGCAGTAATCCTAAACACCTGGAATAGTCAACTGGGATTTGGTGGGATTAGGGGGCTCCATGAGGCAAACCTCATCAGGATTTTGATTAAATATACATTTCAATTCTTATCTTTGAATTATACTCACATCAAACAAGTCAACATAAATATAATTAGCTAATCTGGGCTCTTGTGAATGGATTGTTTGTCAGGTTAAGTTTGAAGCATGGATCATGGCACTGTAGGGAAAGTAATCTGTTACTTGGTGAAATCCACAGGGTAAACTTTTTTGGGCCTTCACTGATTCTCATGTGCAACCAGAACCATTTTTTAGTTTGTTATTAAACATATAAAACAGTCATGGTGGCATTATAGCTAAATCTAGATGGTTAACATTATGAACATCATACCCTCTTAACATCAGCATGTTGGTATTGTCATTGCATGCTGACATTAGCCTTTAGTCCAAGCAGTACTGTCCCTCAAAGAGCCACCATCATGGCTACAGTTGCTTAATCTTGTTTTTTTTGTTTTAAATCATAGAATACTGTTTGACTAAAGCCAATGTCCTATGATTTTATTTGTAATTATGATTATAATTTAGCATAATTGCTTTCTTTGAAAGGTCGACCAAGTGGGGAGACTCTGGGATTGTCTTGTTCTAACATGGACATTGTGGTTCACGGCTGACAGTTGCTGTTGTTCCTAGAGTAATTAGTTCAACTTCTCTTATTCTGTTTATTTTTCAAGCTTTACTTTCACAAAGACAAAGGTCCAGCTGGGCTGATAAAGGTCATGACATCATATTTAGTAATATGAATATGCAATTACAAAGAAAGTTCCTCTGTTGGTAGAAGGACCAAATGCTACAAATAAAAATGTCCAACAGTTTAATAAGGTTTAACCTCTTAGTTTTGCAATATGATCCCATTAGTTGTCATGTTCTTTCGTGTAAATATTGTATTTGGTTCTTTTACTTTGAGTGGTCAATTCTGGCATAATCGAGTCATAGATTCTGACAACATGAACATCTGTATTATGTGGTTAAACCATTATCTAGGGCGTTGCAGCTTCATCATCTAACCTCCCTCTCCCTGTTCCCTCTTTTCTAGACGTGGACGAGTGTGCAGAGGCGCTTGACAACTGCAGCATCGATGCCATCTGCCAGAACACCCTGAGGTCATACAAATGTATCTGCAAGTCGGGATATAAAGGAGACGGCAAACATTGTGAAGGTAAAAGTCTTTCCGAAATGTATGCGCTCATTCCCACCTGTGGTTGGAGGCGAAAACTTGTGCTCCCCTCTGTGGGAGGATTTCTACAGTACACTGAAATAGAAGCGACATCTCTCATGTTGATTTGACTTATCTCTGGGAATGTAAGCCCCCCCTGAGCCAGTGACAGGCACGATAAGAGCTTCTGTCTCACTCAACATAACTCATTAGTTCAAGACTCTCCAGAAGAGGGAGGAGAGCTGAGGGAGAGAGGGGCGGACGGAGGAAAAGGGAACGCCAGGTGCAGAGTGCTCCTTTGTGGCAAGATGAAATGAAGCAGTAAATTTCCTACACATGTTGAAGGAGAAAATTAAGATAGCAACTGAATCGGCAGTCAGAGGGCCTGCCAAGCTGTCAGGGATATTTCCACAGCCAGAGGAAGGCCTCATGGACTGTCAGACACAAGTCTGTTTTTCTAACCTTTTTCTCAATGTGCCCAAAGCCTCCGGATCATTATATCCCACAAGTTTTATTAGTATTATTACAAAACCATATTTCTCAATGTCATTTTTTTCCCTCACTGTTATTATTCTTTCATTTAGTTGACTGAGTGTTTTTCATGGCCTCGTGCCTGTGGGTCATAAAAGTTAGCTTTATTGAATCTATTGTGAAATATGTGCTAGGTTGGGTTTCCTTTAACTGAAGGCTTCTGAAGGCTGACATGCTGGTCAGATTCTAAATTCAAAAGCAAAACTCATAAGACTTGTAGTAAATATAGATGCTTCAAGTGATGTGTGATATAATTTAAAGGACAAATCGTCTGCTGAATGTAACCTTGCACTGGTATTTCTGAGTGCAGAGCTGCAGGAGGATAGCAATCATTAGTGTTTAAAGCTGAGAGGATAAAGCATAAAGACGCTTTTCTATTTCAGTGCTGTTTAGTTGAGTTCTCATGATTACTTAAACAGCTCCACTGTCACACTTGTCATTATAGTTTATGGTTAAATGTTTAGATTGAATTCATCCAAAGACTTGTTCAGTATAACTTGGAGCAAAAGCTGAGATTTTATCAGTTGAAGCAGAAGCTTTTATCTTCTCCTGATTTGCCCTCTGCTGCCAAAAGAAATGATCACAAATTTTCTTTTTCCTCATAAAAGTAGGCTATCTAGAAGAACATTGGAACTGATTTTTGCTAGCTCTCCAAAATTCCTCCTGTTCATACTGGCAAGTAAAAAACAAAGTCTTCCTTGATGTGGACAAAACCCTCATTAATCTTCTTTTTGCACGTTTCCCGATGTTAATCTAATGCTAAAATGAGCCTTCAGCAGTCACAATGAGTCAAATCTGGTTGGTATTTTCAAAGTGACTGTCTTTTGAGTGTAACATTTCAACTCTTTCCTTTTTCTAGGAAGTGTTTGTGACTATGGTGCTTAGACTATTTCTAAAAATTCTGTGCATGTGATAAAAGTGAACGGAAGAGTATCCTAACTAACTCTAGCTGAAACCAAGCCAAATTCCATATGATGAAAGGCTTGTTGGCTGCATTCCCGTAGTACCCATGCTCACGCAGATCTCTTGAAATATGACAGCTAAACGAGTGTAGAAAATAACACTCTGTGGGTGGAATACTTATTATGCCTGTTAGAGGTTCAAGATTGGTGCTTAGCTGATGTGAAGGCGTTAACCCGCTCTTTCAAAACAATAACTGACAGAAAAATCAACTTCATGAGTGGTAAGATTGATGCATGCTTAATTAAGATCAATCACAGTCTGTAGGGACTTGGGTTGGGAACTGGAGGGACCAAATATGGAAGTTGGTCTGATAGATGGAGAGGTGCCAGATCACTTCCTGAGCACTGTCGAGGTGCACTTGAGCAAGGCACCAAACCCCGTCCCCACCACGAGCTCAGGAGCGCCCGCTGTGGGCAGCCCTGTCACTCTGACATCTCTCCATTAGTGCATGTCCATAGATCCCGTTTGTGCATGTGTGTGTTGCATGATTAACAGAGTGTAAAAACAGAATAAAGTAATTTTAATCAGTCGCTGGCATGCCAATAATTATGCATATATGGTGATTTGACAACTGTAGCAACTGATTACAGCTACTCATGTCAGTTAAGGGGGACCCTTTAGATCAGCACATCACACTTTCCTTCAGTCACTGTTTGTTTATGAATCCCCCCTCACAGTCATTATAGTTGTCTTAAAGGCTCATTTCAGATATGATCACATCGATTTCAGAGAACCCTTTACAGTAAGTTCTCTATGTGGCCTCAAGAAAGCGTAAGAAGTCTGCCCTGTTTTCCCAGCCATATTGAGATACTATGACCCACTACAACGAGAAAACAAGTCTGTTTTCTTAAAATCGCTCATTCTTCAGATAACAGCATTACACTTTTCTTAAGGCTGTGTGGGTTGTGAAATAGCGTCATGGTGTTCTATTTGGAAAACCGACCGATTTATCAGCCAGCCGATAATATCGGCTGATATTAGCTTATCCACTGACCATTGGTATCTGCTAATTTTATCGCAGATATAATCTCCAACATTACTAGATTTATTCACCAGTCAAATAGCGTTTCATTTGAGTTTCATCATATTAAACTAACAGTTCTCTTTCACCAGCAGAGGGTGCTACATGGATTACAACAATGCAATTAATGTGTACATTTATATATATCTCTTTAGATTACATAGGAAATTATCTGATTTTTTTTCTCCCTGATATCGATATAGGTATTGGCCCCAAAAAAACATATCAGCCCCAAATAATCATATCGTTCTAATCTTTTTCCTACCCTTTTATCTTAAGTCTTTTTTGTTCAATGTGGATCTTGTGCATTATGGGTTGTTTTATGGTAGTATGGTATAATGGTAGTGTTCTATACATTTGATCTTTACTAACTGTTAAACTGGCTTTTATCATTAATTGTTGCAGCTGCAAAATAATTCTGCAGCTGCGCCGATGGCCTAGCGGTTATTTTGTTTGCCCCATTTACAGAAGCTGTACTCCTCATTGCAGCGTCTGTGGGTTCAAATCCGACATCTGCCCTTTTCTGCAGGTCATCCCCCTCTCACTCATCCCAACGTTACCGGTCTCTCTTCAGCTGTCCTATCCAATGAAGACCGAATTGCCTTAAAAATATAAATTAAAAATATATAATTGTTGTAATTTTTTTGCCTGAAACTTCATTGTCTCACCAAAAAATACTCATAGTTGTTTTTTATGATTCATATAAGTAAACTATAAACATCAGGGACATCAACAAACTAATCCAGGTTCTCGTCTTTGTTTCCCTGGAAGATAGTCAGACTATGTCTGATTCAAATGAGTCCATCTTTTACATTTTACCTTTAGGATTTAATTAATTTATATGTGGCACATTTTCAAAGGCAAACATCAGGGACAAACACTTCAAAGTTTATTGGAAGACCTGGGCAAGCTTCAAATAAAGACAAATCAAAGCAGTTGAATGAAAACTACTGTGTTCTTGGATGTTCAGGTTTAAGAGGAGGTGAACAGAGATGTTTGATACTGCGCCCTGATCGAGGAATGACAGAGATGTGTGGGAAGAGGAGAAACACAAGAGCGTTTCTTTGTCTCAGTCCCTTCGCTCTGCTGTCACATCTTATTTAGCACACGGTGAAACAGCCTCAAAGAGGGGCTTGAACGGCTGGGATCATCGGTCCTAAATGGGCCAGTAAGTGCTGGTTTGAAGTGCACAGAGATCTCAATCCCTCGATCTCTTGGTTTCGTCAGCACGGACCCTCACCCATCATCATAACTGTAACAGACAACTCCACTCAGGCTGTCACACCAATCTGCAGCCTCTCTTTATCTTCCTGCCTCTGCTCTCTCATTTATGTGTTACGCTTCTTCACTTTCAATTCAGTTTAGAGTCCTCTCTGATGGTCATTTTTCTCTCTTAGGTATGATCCTTCATGTCAATAATGTCCATGCATAGATAATGGAGAAGAAGAATTCACCTCTAAACAGCTTCTTTCCTCATTCTTTGGCAGACATTTGTGTACTTAAATATCTACAAATATCATCGATGACTTCATTCTCTGGATTGTAGTTTAAAGATTTTAGTACCTCAAATTGGATACAAACTCTGTTTCAGAGGCTTTTGAGTCCTGCCAACAATAAAATTCCAAAGAGAAAAAGCAACGTTCTGGCATACAAACTGTTCAAATTATAGGATATTAAATATGGCGGAAAAACTTGGCTATCAGCTTCAGTATTTAAAAACAAAACAATAACAGAGAAGCTCTGGAACAAACACCAGTAACATCGCTAACAGGTGAGGTACCTTATCGCTGAGCTTGTGCCTCATCCCTGTTTATGAGAGCTGTTTTCAAAGTGGAAATACACAGATCAATCTGGTTTCCTGTACTGCATCTAACAGTCCTATTTCATCACAGATTTTTTTAAGTAATATTTTGACATTGTAAGAAATACGATATCTTGATTAGTTGTAGGTATGAGCATGAAAACATAACCATCTCTCCTATCCGTGCAGACATACCACATTCTAGCACCTTGGCCGTTTGTTAATTAGCACGTTTTCCCTAGCTGCAAAATTCATAAAAAAAAGTCTAAAAATGTAACATGATATCAGGGAGTTTATGTGTGACTTTCTGCAGTTTCATCATCACCTTGAGGTGAGAGTGGAAGACCAATAAGTAAGAGTGAGGAATCTTTTCATCTTGATTAAAGGCATTAATATTCTGTAAAAGAGGTTTTATTATAAAACTATTAAAAACTCTCCTAATTCTATCCATATATCATATGTATTATCAAAAAACTATTCAGATTAAATGTTCATTACCTGTCCCCACACCCAGAACACTCAATGCCCATAAACACAAATACACCTGGTAAAAACATTGGCGAGTTCCAAAATTATAAAAAAATAATTAATTAAATAAATGAAAGCAGAAGATTCATTACCAATTAATAAATAATTTAAAATTCCTTCCTATAAAAAAATATGTTTTAAGCAAAGATTTAAAAACATGTAATGAGTTTGCCAGCCTAATGTCTTCAGGTAGGGAGTTCAAGAGTTTATGGGCTTTGATGGCAAATGCCCGGTCGCCCTTGGTTACCAGTTTTGACCGAGGAACAACTAATGATGGTGCTCTTGAGGATCTTAGATTACAGTTTAAAGTGGTTTGGATACACTGAGGAGGATGATCATGTCTCTCTCAATAATTCCACTCTAAAGTTATTTTTAATCTTTCATCAGTCTTGTTTGAAGGATGAATGATTCTTCTTTGAGGGGGGTTCTTCATTATTCTCATCTATTATTCTCATCTGATAAAGCCCCCAGCTGTATGAGATATGTCTCTGGATATGATTTTTTGTGATTTATTAGTAGCTTCATGTCACATGGACAGATATGAGAGGTGCCACTGATCGTCTTCTTTTTCTCTTAGCAACAAAAACAAACGAGTGTCATTTCCTAAATGTCAAACTAATGGACCTCAAAGTATCGAAAGACACCTCCTCAATTGCCTGCGTTTTTCTCTTCGCAGATGTCGACGAGTGTGCGACTGAATACAACGGCGGCTGTGTCCACGAGTGCATCAACATTCCCGGAAATTACAGGTGCACATGCTATGATGGCTTCCGCTTGGCACATGATGGGCACAATTGTCTAGGTGAGTGTGTGATGTTTGGGAGTGTGTGTGTTCACTTTGTCACAGCGTTTGTGTGTGTTCTTTTTCCTTGACATTTTCTTCAGCTGACTTAATTATGCAGGAAAAAGCTTGTTATATAAGGCACTCTGTCAGGAGTACATGTATATTAAACTGCATATGTCCAACTCCGGCTGACATTACCCATGTGGCTGCATAAATTCCTCTCTCTGCATGTCTAATGTCACATCATAGATGGTAATGTATGTTCCAGACTGCTGCATTAGATATTAGCTGTACCCTCATTTAACATAGCAGGTAGCCTCTGAATGTGTTTTCACTACGAAAAGGAGACTTTTTTTTCTTCTGACGAACAGAAGTGAATTTATGAAGAGCTTGACCCTGAGCTGTGAGCTCTGAGTGAGCCGTCAGTCGGCCGTACTTTCCCATGGTTTAATATTTCACCAGTGTGCCATTCATATTACCCTCGTAGAGAATGTATTACGCTTTAAAAGGTTATGAAATGAGGGGAAAAAACACTGCTAAACAAAGACATCGACCCCTCTCAACCCGTTCTGTCTCTCCAGCGCCTTCTCCTTCGTATACCCATCTTGCCGTCGTCTCTCTCTTTTTTTTTTTTTTAAACCCCCAAGCCAGACCCTGCTGCTCCTCAGAATTTCATAACGCCTCTTGGTTTGAACCTCCAGATGCTACATTTCACTTGATATCAAAGCTGGCTTTAGCTGCTGCGAGCTTGTTTTATATGTGAGTAACGGACAACTTGCTGCAGTGGAGTTTTCACGTTCAGGTGAAGCGATGACAGCAAAACTTATCAGCACTTAACAATGATTCACTATAAAAGGTCGTCTACATGCAGGTACAAGGAAAACATGTTCATATCAGTCCCAGATTATCTTGATGACTAGGGATTAAGGAACGGTGGAATGGAAAACACATCTTAAAATCGATAATAAACCTGTTCCGACTTGACGCTGCCCTCTTCCTTTCTCTTTCTCCAACTGTATTTTTCCTTCTTTTCTTGTCTTCCTCGCTCTCTATCTCTTGTGTTCCCTCGTATCTACGGTTTAAAGCGACGCTATTTTCCAAGCCATTAAGCAACGGCGTTCAGCTGTGCGTGGATCATTTGCTTTGCCGCGGATCAGCTCCTGCCTTTCGTGCAGGTGTGTAATTGCAACATATGCTCGTGTGGCTGCTGAGAGAGCTGCAACCATCGATCCCTTTGATCAAATCTGTCACAAGATTTCACTTTTTTTTCTTCTTCTGCCGTGTTTGATTGTGATGAGCTGCATGCAAGAGAAGAGCAGGAACTTCTTGAAACGGCTCAGGGAATCTCAGCATAGCAAAGGCGGCATTAAAACACACCGGATGATATATATGTTTTGCCGTCAAGCGCAAATCTTGCCCTGAGACCTGAAAGGACTCCTTAGACTTCTTTTTCTCAAAAAACGTAACTCATGCTAATACCCCCGCTCTGCTCTGCTAAGGAAATAATCCCCAGCACAAACACAAGAAAGGAGAGGAAAAGGTATAAGCGAGGTTTCATGTTAAGGCCCCCAGCTTCCTCTTCCAGGTTTAAGCTCCTTTTTGGCCCCAGAGAAAAAGATTAGTCCCCTTGGCCCTGGAGTGGAGAGCCTAAGCAGCTGGTTCCCAGACAAGGTCAGACCCTCTGAGCCCCTTATAGACCAGATGTGCCTGAGGCTGCACAGAAGGAGACGTTCACCTGATCCTTAAAAGTTCACACTGAGTTTGGAGTCTGGGATCTTTAAGTTTCTTCTCCTTAGGATTTACCCCATGTTGTTTTTCTATAACGCTCTGCTGATTTTGTTTTATTTCCTCTGCTTGTAATGCTGTACAAACTCCCATTTGTGTCCATAACTTCCTGCTCCCAGTCCCTTCGGGCTTTTCTCTCCGCCTGTAGTTCAGCAGTGTGTGTGTATGTGTGTGTGTGTGTGTGTGTGTGTGTGTGTGTGTGTGAGCGTGTGACTGTCAGCTCAGGGACACGAGCAATGCCTGCGCACACGTCTCTGTCGATGTCTTCTTTTTGCGCTTGCATCCACACGTGCCACACGGCTCCTTGTAATTGGATGTGTTGGCAGCATAATGACATTGGGCGGTGGCAGGAGGCGGCGGAGCGTGAAGCAGAACGCTGCCTAGCGAGCCTCACTGGGGAACGCTCCGGTTTCTGAGTTCTGCCCTACACTCCACGCAGATGTCAGGGAGTCAGCAGGGTGGAAGCAATGCAATATCACAGCACGTTGCCTCTGTCTGCGCAGACTGAGATGTCACTCACTGTATAATTTACCTCACAGGGAACTATTGTTTCTCCCTCAAAAGTCGGCGAGGGGAAGAAGTGAAGCATATAAGGAGTTGATTATGTCTTTTATAACTGTCATGGCTTTTATCTCGCAGAGGTGAGGGAGGGATTGTATTTAATCACCACACCTACCTTATAGCCAAGCTGTAAAGGATTTTCAGAGTCTTAGGAAAAACAGAGGAATCAATGTCAATTTAATCCAAAACACACATCCTCTTTAGAATGAAAACCAGATGCAGGAAGGCTATTAGTTCCCCGCTGTAGCACCGCCGACCCCACATTTATGACCTGTGTGTTTTGTTTGAGGTCCTACAGAAACCAGAATTCCCTCCTATCATTGCTAGTTCGTTAAACTCTCTCAAGTAGCTTCATATCATAAACATCTGCGCAAATACCCCCCGTCGCTGCAACCACAAGTTACAACATTTCCCTGCGTATTGGAGCGAGAAAGACGAATAATAATCCTATTTCTTATGCTCTCGTAAAGTGGAAATGACAGGATCGCATGCAGCCGGAGTGTGACTCACAAAGGAGAGACTAAAGAAGAAGTGAAAAGACGACACACACACACACACACACACACACACACACATGTGGGTCAGAGTGACACCGGAATGTCATTTAAATGTGTTTGTCTTTGCACTGTTTGCATTAATTCATCATGCTTGGATCTGTTAGTCAAAGGGCCAATTTGGGGGTGTTGGGCGCCACTCCCTCAGCTCAACAGGCCATGTTCCTTTGATGTCCATTGATCAACACTGATTTGGTTTGTATTGATTCAGCAAAGCTCAATTCCCTGTGCAATCTATAGGGAAATTCATGCCCTTTTACTTTAACCTTGCCCAGAGATGTATCATGATCTATAACACAGAAGCAATGACATTAAAGGCGTGACCTGAGCCTCAGAATAACAGCTTCAAGCACCAACTCTGAAAAGGTCCCATCGGTTAATGAAGTTAAGGGTTTTGCCAAACGCTTGTGTGTCATTGTTTTGAACATAAGAATGTCCCTCGTAAAAATCTTCGTTAGTCATCCAAAGCGTAGTGTCCTGGCTGAGCTTGTGTCCCCGATGATGCAATCCTTTGGGATCGGGTTGCAGGGTTTGCGAATCAAACGGGAGGTTTCAGACTGATGTATTATTGACCAGGTCCTGAAGGGAGAAAGTGGTCATCAAAGAGCGTCACGCTGATTTGCTCCACAGCTTTTGCTGTGCTCTTAAATGCATTCCTTTTAAGTGTATTGCCCACTCTATCAAGGCGGCGATGATAACCTCTGCACCTTTAACTTTTGCAGAAAATGATTGATTCTCGCCTTGAAAATGTTCTTTAAAACCCGCGTTGTAGAATTCATTTAAGGGAATGATGACCTGATAACTCTGCACCAATCAGATCAAGAGGACAGCAGAGCACTGCATTCAAAGACGAAACTTAACCCTCCTCGCTTTCCTTTCTTCAGTTGCACATATCGTGCTGTCTACCCAATTAGCAGTCACTTTGCTTTTGTTGTGACATGCACAGAATCGAGTTTGGACAGGAGAGTCTCGCCACAGTTCAGAGGAGCGTTGCGGAGTGATGAGTTAAGGGACGGATTTAAGACGGGTGCTTTAACCGGCTCCTGACGACTATATCAACATTCTCTCTCCCTGTCTCCTTCTCTCGTGATTGTTCAGTCCCACTCACCATGAAATGGACAATTCCAGCTGAGCCCACTGGCAGGGCTTTGGGGGGAAACTCAAGCCTGAGATTGGGCTTGTGGATGTAAGCATGTAGCAGACAGTGAGCAGTCAGAGGATAGTGCAGGGTCTTGTGTCTTTGGCATATGGGGGTCCGCCTCAAACACTTATCTTTTTTTTTTTAGTTTTGTGGGAGCAGAAATGACCATTTAGCATGATCGTTCCTCAAAGCTTTCCATTTAAATTGAAGTCAGCGAGACACTGGATGTGGAATTCAAGCTTGTGCTTGTTTACCAAATTGGTTACCCTGGAAACGAAAAAAGTCTGATTTAAATCAAAGATGTATTAGTTTTGTTTATGTAACATAAAAAATCTAGCCTTGTTGCTGACTTAATGATGACAGTAAACAGATTTTATTCAAGCTTGCAGAGCAGATGTGACTCAGTCAGCTGAGCGGTTCCGGCAGGCAAGAAGTGCTGGAACTAATCAAATGTTCAAAGGCGAATACTGGAAGTGTTTTCATCCATCAATTATCAGTTTGCAAATGTCACCCGCTTTCCTTTGATTTAAGCGAGTGTGTGTTCTGCAGATGAAAGATCAGGACTTCCTGCTACATATCAGTTTATACAACCTCACCTGACATCTGTCTCACACTGTGGCTGTGAATGTTTGTTCACATGAAGCAAGTTTTAGCAACCTGCCTGTGCACTTTTGTGTCCTTTTCTGGCCGATTTCAAACCTGGTGTCTTGCTCCTCGTTCATTCAGGGGGGTAAAGAAATATGCTGAGTCATTGGCAAAGAGGAAATCCTCCATCTTTTTTTCAAAAAATAAGAAGGGATCTTGGTTTAGTCACTGACGCCTGATCATCCACCAAAGCAACATAGTCAGCCTCTGCGGTCCCACAGCTGTTTTGCTGCCTTTCGCTGCACATGGCTCCTATTTGCTTCCTTATTAAAGAGCGTGTTGCTTTTCCACTCCTGTAAATGAAATGCCCAACGAGGCCAGTGTCAGTCCACTCACCTCCTTGTCTCTGGTCCGTCTAGACCACAGAGACAGTTCTGTCTGATCCAGACAGAGGCCAAGCAGTGGGATGGATGCAGGTACAGCTTTGACAGCGGCAGTTTCTCAACTCTCCCCCCTGCAAAAAAAAAAGAAGAAAAAAAAAAAAAAAGGAAAACTCTTGGTCAGCGATAAATACCCCCAAAGTTGCTGAACTTTGAAAAAAAAAAGCATCTCTTCAAAGTACGAGTTCAGGAGTTCCTGTAAGGCAACCACCATGTTTATGTGGCCGTAAAGCGCTGCACAAGGCCAAATGTTATATATACAGTCAAGGCTATCTGAGAAACCAGCGGACACGGCCTCCGCAAACACAACCAATCTCTTAATCTCTCTCCGTTTGAACCTTCTCTTGCCCTGCGCCTCCCCGAGAGAAGAAGGGACAGAGCAGGGACATGTCTCATTTTTCAGAAGTGAGGCAGCCCTTTTAAGTTGATTAGACATTTTTTTTTTCCATCCTCTCAAGAGAATTAAAAAAAAAAAAAAGTGTTTTAAATCCAAACAACATGAGCACTTGTCCGGGCTATGCCAGAGCCCCCATTTCAGCCTGGAAATATTTGCTTTGGACGCCAGCCTTGCCCAGCACACAACACAGGCAATTATGGGAACTATTTAAACAGCAGAGATCTTCTGACAGGCGACGCCTCATTTGGAAGGATGAAGGAATCAGGAAATGAAACCTTCATTGATGCGCTGAGGGTATGGAGAGAGAATTCCCCACAGGCCCACTGTGGTTGGATGCATTTCTCAGGAGCATTTTGTGCATGTGTTGGGGACTGTTCACTGTTGTATTTGTGTAGCCACATTTGTGAATTTTGGAGGTTCAGTGATCACAAAAAAAAAAAAAGAGAGAGAGGGAGACTTTATGTGTGTTGGAAGGTTTTCCCGTTTGATTTGTGGAGTTTGGTGCCTATCAGTTTATCTGCAAAGGTGCAGCTGGAGGTTGCTGGCAGCTGGAGGTTGCTGGCAGCTTTCGTCAGCTCAGAGGTCTTCTCTCTCTGCTGCTGCCACTTGCATGATCCAGAAAAAAGACCATGAGTTCAACACCAACGTCAAATTAAAGCCTGGCCAACTGTTTTTTTTTGTTTTTTTTTAAACTTGTCCTCCCTTGACTCTGATTTAGTCAAAATGTTAACTTTGCTAAAAAGTTCTTTTTTTGTAAGTGCTCTGCTTCACCTGGCTGCAGAGTGATGCTTTTCCAAACGTCCTCAGCTGACATGACACGTTGTTTTGAGAGGAAAAAGTCCGTTTTACTGATGGAATGTGGGAAGAGGACAGCAGACTTGGCTGGCAGACAAGGGTCATGAGTGCTACCTGCCACTGACCTACTTATCCGGTCCACCCCAGAGGTTTTCTGGCTTGCCAGGTGCCACTTTGGAAGTGCACTATGTGTGTGTTTATGCATTCGGTGACTCCACATGCATTTCTGTGTGGAAAAAGAAGAAAGAAGAGGAGCCAGAGAAGTTTAATTTCAAACTGTGTCGGGCTGAGAATTCCCCAGAAAGGAAACTTAATCTCTAGGCCTTCTCAGACTGGACAAATAGACAGTAAATTAGTTTCGCATGACAGTTTATTAAAAAAACGTCTTGTGTATACAGCAGATTATTGATGCATCGAGCAGAAGGGTGGATAAGGTTCCAGTGTGGTCAGTAGAGAGGGACAGAGCCCAGGTCTCCGGGGTAAGAGGGAATATAAAGAGTCACCTCCAGAGCCACAGTGTAGTCACGCACAGGGGAGGCTGGGGCCACTAAGCTCTGCAGCATGCCAGACGTTGCACAAGAGCTGTCGTATTGAAAATAAACAAATATATAAAGCTAACGTATAGATGTTCCACCGCTTTTCATTTGATTCTTTTGTGGAGTCACAAAAAGTGAGTGCCTTTTTAGAAGAGAGCAGCTGGAAGTTCCCTAATTCATTATCAGTGGATATGAAGTCAGCAACTCTCGTTTGTGGTCCGTTTCCCTTTCTTGCCTCAAGGCAGGACGGGGCCTCAGGCGACACCTTTGGAAATGCTTTTGTATGCGCTTGAGATTGATTCACATGGTCGCTTGCTACTCTCCTGCTCCCCCCCCCCCCCGACCCCCTCATTTCTCATACTCTCTCTCCTCTTTCCATCCCTACATTTCCTTTCCCCCCCTCCGTCTCCTCGCCTCCTCATCTCCCCCACCTCCTTCCTCCCTCTCCCTGCATTCCTCTTGTCATGGGGCTGACAGACACTCGTCATCAGCAGGTACTCTGGCCCAGGTGGATCAGGTTTCCCTCTTGCCAGGAGACTGTGCTGCATGTGCACATTTATGGCTTAGTGCTGCACAGTTGGAGGTTTTCAGTGCGGCTCTGGTGTGCTGCCAGGTCAGATAACCATTAAGAAAGGCGTGTTGGCCTCAGACAGCTTAAGACACACTCTTCTGGCTTTTGACAACGAGCAAATACTCATCTGGGGACTTTATTGCGTCTTATATTTGATTATTGATCCATTTTTTTTTTTAATTGGCTTTCAGGCAGTATAGATTAACCAAGTATTAAAACTTCTTACCAGATATTTAAGCTATTTCCATTCAGTGTTAACAGATACTACCTTTCCACATTTTTAAACCTCTGTACAACTGTACAATGATATTAAAATGAATTAGACACCGACTCTAGGGCAAGTTTTTCTAAATTATGATGACTTACTCTAAGTATATTTAGTTGATCATATTTCCTAGAAGCACATTTCTGTGCAGGATATTTACTTAAGTGTTATTAAATGCTATTTAACAAATTTAAAGAACCTAAATCCTCCTTAAAAATCTTCAATAAAAAATACTGCCTTAAAACCTAGACTTTTTTGCGTTCTTTGAAGGGTGTTTTTTTTTATATATTTATTTTTATTCACATCCGATAATGACAAGCAGGTATCAAAGCATACAATTTTTCTTTTTTTTTTGAAGGGTGTTTTTTGTTTGGACGCTTGCTATCTTTGATTAACAACACTTCACTTTTCACTTTTGCAGGCTGCCAAGCACCTGTAGCTTTCCTGGTGTCACCAAGGGTGTGACACAAGCGTCACCTTTAGGAGCTATACATTTCACAATGCATGTAAATGAGTTGGGTGAAATGTTAATGTATTCCTACTTCTTTATGCAGATGATAACATTGTATTTTACTGTGAAAGCACTTAAAGCCCTGGCAACTAAAAAATCTGCAACATTAATTTTCACCTGTTCCATCTCAGAGTAGTGTGACAAGTTTGAAATGGGCTTGTTGCTGCCACTATCTGGTCCCCCTAGGAGACAAAGATTGGCAGTGTTTGTGATTATTGTTTAGATGACCGTATCACAGAATCACAAGTTAATTAGTTTCTTATCTCCATATTAAAAGGTTGCTGTCATTGAATATTGAGATAATGTAACTTGTTATCTTAAGAAATAAACAGAGTCTGATCGTTTTGACTTCATAATTTGATTTATAAATCAACAATAATTTACAATGTACATTGACCAAACATTTCCATGAAGCTTCTCAAATGAGGACATCGTTTATGTTCTATGAATTATTATTTTTAAATTAGTTCATACAGTTGACAAGACGCCAATGATGACTTCTTGCATGGCCCTTCTGATCTCTGATTAACATTTTGAATAATCGGTGGAAATCACCTTTTGTTTTCTTGTCATCACAGGTTTTTTTATCTTGTTTTCTTGAGATAACGAAACAATTAACTTGTCATCTTGAGATAAAGACATCAAAATGATTTGCGAGCACTGCCATTCTTGGCTTCCGTGTGTTCCTATCGTCTCTGTTTGATGTTGATATACAGCTACTTGTCCTTTAAATGGGTCATGACTTGATCCCAGACGACCTTCAGCCAAAGAGTAATCTGTGTCACATTTGTTCTGTCTTGAAGTGATGTTATTAATTAATTTTGGTTTTACGCGCCTTGTCTCCCGGCAGATGTGGATGAGTGCTCAGAAGGCAACGGCGGATGCCAGCAGATTTGTGTCAACATGATGGGCAGCTACGAGTGCCGCTGCAGAGAAGGATTCCTCCTGAGTGACAACCAGCATACTTGCATCCAAAGGCCTAAAGGTTAATCATGCATACACACACATACACACACACACACAAACACAGACACACATGCACACACTTTGAAGATTTACAGTAAATATTGAGACACATGTTGTTCAGTGAGGGTGCTTTGGCTTTAGGTTGGATATTACCATAGTGTTAAAAATGATGCAGTTTTATTTTTTTTAATAAAATATGTTAATTTTCATGTCCAGACTTTATTTTTTTAAGATTTTTTTTGGGGCTTTTTGCCTTTTATTTTGATAGGACAGTGGATAGAGTAGGAAGTCGCGAGAGACAGTGGGGAATGACATGAAGGAAATGAGGTCAGACTTGAACCCGGGCCGTCCGCTTGGCCTGCATACATGGGGCGTGACCTACCCGCTAGGCGATCTGCGCCCCATGTCCAGACATTTTACAAATATTTGATGAGTTCTGCAGATTCTAACTGAGAATGGGATTGGCCTCAACAGGCCTACATAAAAGGTAAGTGTCTTCAGTCTGAAGAGGGGAAAAGAAAAAAAAGAACGGGGATAAATCTCTTTGTTGTTTTCCTCCCATCCTGTCAAATTGAACCAATCTAGAGCTTGGCAGCATTTTAAGGTATCGCTGGTATGAGAGTGGCCCTTTAGGGGGACTGTGAGCAGAGAAAACAATTAGAGGAGTAGCCTCGGGCAGACACACCTCTTGTTTATAGAGCATTCCTGTGGGATGGAGACGTGACAGCAGAAGGTAGAGAGCCAACCTGCTCTCAGGCTTACTCATCAGACACGGGAACTCTGCACACATACATTCATTTATAACGTCATGGCAGCACTTAAAGTTAAGTAAGCTGTCAGGAAAATATCTCAGTTATGTATATTGTCTGGTTGTTTTTAAGTCTATAAAAAGACATCAGAGTGGTTGTAGTTTGTAACTGATCCACACTGTTTTGTAAAAAGGCCCATTTACAAAACATTCATATTAAAAAATTAAAGTTCCTTAGCTTTGCCAGATTGATTTCTATTTAAATGAAGCACTGTATTGTTGTAGCTGTATGTATCCCTTAATTGTGGAATAAGTTCAGTTCAGACCTTTATTGTCCCTGGAAGAGAAATTTTATTTAAAGCAGTGGACAAAAACATAGTTTGTTGAATTCTGTACAGTTTAAAAGATTGTATTTTTTCTTCTATGTGTCTGTTTTGTTTGGACTGTTGTCTAGTTTCAGCTTTCCAATTATAAGACCAAGTACTTTTTAATGAAAAGGATCAAGGCTGAACTACACCACTGATATTTGATTAGATTTTAAAGGCTTCTGTCAGAAGTGTTTAACAGGTTATTAAACTGAAATTAACATTGATGCCTCTATATGACCTGAAAAATGAAACAAGACCATCACAGAAGGATTGCTTGTTCTTATGTTGTTGTTAAGTAAAGCCTAAACACTGCTGCAACCAGATAGGAAGCAGAAAAAAACAAGTGTTTCCACTGTGAATCTTTCCACAGTGAGAGATATGATAGATTAAAAAATAAAAAGCAGGATGAGAATTTTCATCATAAAACTGTAGTTATGCATGTGTACCTGCAGGAAAGGTGAGCAAAGCGAGATGAGGTAGATGGGGCGCAGAAGTTTACAGCAGAGAGTTCCTCAATGGCACTTTAGATTAAAGAACTCTTACATCGGCATCATATTCTGTTTTACAAAGGAGAATCATATGTTTCTGATTTGTTAGCGGAAAAATGCCCATATATTTTTTCAGGCCTCTTGGTGTTTCCAATAGCAACAGTTTACTGACAGCTCAGAGCAGGCTTTGCTGGGTGATGAACTGTCAAGTTTGTTGCTGAGACACTTACCGGAGGATGTCAAAATGCTACAAATGATTATGCAAGACTGTAACATTTAGCTTTTCAATCTGTTTTTCCCATACACATCAAATGAGCATGCTAGGCTAACCAACCACCACTTGGAAGGTAAAGGCACTTAACCTCATTTGCTAACACAGGTAAGCACATGAGGCTGACAGTGATATTTAATCCAAGGCGTAACATGTTTTTAAAGGTGTAGTTATCGTGTTAAGAAAAAGTCTTCAGCAGCACTAAGAGCTCAGAACCAAGAGGGAGAAGAGATATCGGTTACCAGATGTCACGAGAGAAGAGAAATCTGTGTCACCAGCTCTCAAAAGACTTTGTCACTGAGACAGTCTACAAAGAATAACTTTGGTTTGTCTGTCTGAATCCCATTCCTGTATCAGTTATGGCTTGTGAAAAAATGCGTCCAATGTTTACTTTGGTATCAACGGGCTGAGAGAAACAGTCACAACATGCACTTACATTAACCTCTCCCATTTTAGTGAATAGGCTCAGGATTTTATGAAGGTTTTGTGTCCGCCCACACAGATGTTTAACCAATCTAATTACAAAAGATACAAAAAAATGAACTTCCTCTGGAGAACAAAAACGTTGGGGGGCACTGTCATTGCAGACGCCTGGATACACTTTTCCAATACAGCAATTTTTTTGTCATTCAAATTGTGAGCAAAATCGTGCACGAGTCAAAACAAAATCATTTTCTAAGCGGACTCTATTTTGATTCTGTTTTAACTTCTAAGCAGACACAGTTTGCTGCGTCGTTTTAGGTCTTGACTGCAAAATTCAAATAATCTTTATTTTGTTCCCTGTTCACTTCTGTGTTTTGCTGCTGCTGCTGTTGTTTTTCACAATGACCAATGCATCTGTTTTTTTTTTTCCTTGGGTGTATTTCTCCATCACTCAGAAAAGCAACATTAGAGAAAATGAACAGCTGTTATCACTATCGACAAACACATTCATTTCAGCAGTAATTATACAGCTGTCTACTGATTCCTCAGTCAGTGTTGTAGATCTTTTTGTTGTGCTTCTAATTCAGGGAGCTCTGACAGCACAAAGGTAGAGCAGGGATCCGCGAGTCTCTTCTTCTCTGCCCTCCTCGTCTGTCCTCTCTGTCTTCTGTTAGATAACTGCTCACGCTGGGAGTCATTAGGGCCGGGATGTTCCTTAGTCCCCCGGACGGTGAACCGAGGATCTTGGACGTCTGGTTTATGAGATCAGTCTGGCCTAGTGAACTGTCAATGTTTACATTTCATAAACGCAGTGTTATTTGAGTGGAGTGAAGAGCTGGATCATGTGTTTCAAAGCACCACTGCTTTATCAGTGCTGTCAGATGCAGACTGTGAGCACCCGGACCGAGTCCCTCTTTCACTTCCTCTCCTCTCTTTCTTTATAAATGCCTTCAGTTCCTGTTAATCTTCCATTTTCATATTAATTTAGTCTTTATTGCTTCCAGACGAGTCCCATTTGGATCAGAGATTAAAGCCGCCATAAATCTATAAACTTCCTTCACACATCAGATAGCTTCCCTATCATTGTTTTATTACTTTTGAAAGACTAACAGACAGAAGAACGGCTCATCTGCTTATTATTACTGCTCTTATTACAACAGTGTGTGTCTGCAGGAAGCAGTGAGGAATTGACTTGGTGGGTTATTGGACAATAACACTGCAGTTATGTTGCACATATCGCTCTCCTTGTAATAAATGATTACACAAAAGTTGCAGAGGAAAAAAAAAAATCCCTCTGAAAATGTAAACTGATCTGATCTCCTCATTGAGTCCATTTTATTCATCCCTTTATCCATTCAGCCGGGACTCCTTTGCTCATGAGCTTTATTGTTCTCATTAATAAGACATCAGCTTTTCATTTCTTTCATTAATGGGTCAGGTGTTCCCTCGGCAGGTTCTGCGAGTCTTTCTGGGGACAGTGGAGAGCTGGTCACTGCAGTCTGTGGCGCTAACAGCCTGTTTCCCCTGCTGGTAGGAAGCCCTTGTTAGCAGTGAGCCTGTGCCAATTAGGCAGCAGGGGTCTGCCAGCCTCTCAGCTAATGACAAGGCTGCTGCTGGCCTGTCTCTTATTAGACCTGCCCCTGCCCCCCTCTGAACAGGAATAACTCCGGCCAGACGAAGGCTCCATCGTCAGGCCGGACAAAAAAGTAACAGTTCATTTATTCTGCCCAAACATTTCCCCCAGTCAAGAAATAAAAAGGCTTTGAAATCCCAGCCAAGGTGCTTAGCGGTTGATAGGAATGCCGTTTAGGTCAAGAAGAGTTCTACTTCTTTGAGTTTGATTTATTGTCTTTCTTATATAGGAGGATACGAGGGACACACAATATGTGCGTGAGACGGGATCCAGCACATTTGAATCCTGGAATTTCAAGCCTCAGTCAAGCCACACATCCATAATTTTAGTCCTGTGCATTTCGGGGTATCCAGTAGGGCAATTACCTTAAGTGTGCACTGATGGCCCGTTCTGTAAGTCACATATTGTTACTTGTGCATTCACTCATCCTGTCTTCGGGAGACGTTAAACATGATCATTTGATTTGGAGTTGGAATCATGAGCTGGGCAGGATTCACTACGAGGCGGTTTAAAGCAGAGGTGTAACTTTCAACTAGAAGTGGAGTCCTCTGGATTTGATTTCCTGTCACCCTGCCAATCTATTTGGGAAAAAAGCGCTGTAGCATGAGTCCTCAAACAGGAAATGAGCTGGCGCTATAGTACTTCTGGTTCCTTTTGACTTGGACTTCATAAGTTTTTAAAAGAGTTCAAGTTAAATCCCTGAAAGAAGGTCTTTGGTTTAAACCAAGAGAATTTAACATTTTGTTCTTCAACACTAGCTCAATAGCCTGAGATATAATATCCAAGCTCAAACGTCGTCTTTCTCACGGGGCGCCGGTGGCCTAGTGTTTGGTGCGCGATGCCTATGAACAGCGGCTATAGCCCTCCAAACGGGTTTGATTTGACCTGTGGCTCCTTTCCATCATTTCACTTCCCACTCTCTCTCTCTCCACGATTCAGCCTCCAAAAAACATTACGAAATGTATATATATTATCTTGCTTCACAAAACGTGTTGGTATCATAAATGTTTGTATTCCAAAGTGACTTATTTGATACAACCATCTAAAGGAATTCCATTTGGCTTCTTGTTGAGGTAACCAGATCTATA